TGCTCGATGCAGATCCTCCCAGTACGCGATGAACACAGCTGCCGGCTGAGATAGTCGCGCCCATCCAGCAGGCAGCAGCAGTACCCGAACTCGACGTGACCGCTGCCCGCGCGCAGGACGATGCGCCGGCGGAGTGGCGTGGCAAGCTACAGATCAGCACTCAGTATATACTTGGCACCCGCCAGGGAGTACCGAAAACACGCGACCCCACCCACCCCCGCCGCTCCACCCCACCCACCCCCGGCCTGCCTCCCAACCCACCATGCTTACACCCCACCCACCCCCGTCCTGCTCCCACCCAAAACATGCTTCACCGCCAGCCCACCCCGTCCTGCTCGTCGCTCGGTTACTGTGAAGTGTTGACAGTTTGTAGAGGGGGCTTATTCCAGGACCATATCTTACATGTCTCATATGTATATGGTGTTGGTTAAACATAATGCTAGACATGTGAGCGTGGGGGGGGGGGGTAGCTGCAGTTTAAGTACAGTCAACTCTTTCCATTACCCGAACGTTTAGAACGTTCAATATTCTGTGAAGTCGATTTATAGGGAGGGGGTTCCTTATATCAGGCATATCGGTATCATGTTTCAGTGTGTTTGGCGAGTTGAGAAAACCGCTTCGTTTATCGTGCAGATTCGGTAGGTGTTGAGCTGTGTTGGTGATGAACAATCAATCGATCGAATAGATTATCGGATCGCTCGTAAGATGACCCACCCCCCCCCCCCCCCCCCCCCCCCCCCCCCCCCCCCCCCAGAACCCCTTTCGATTCGTGTGGCCGTCGAGTGGAATTTCTTACATATTTGCAAACTCTCCGTCGAACGTAACGCTTCGTTCGTGCGCTGCTGGGTGGCAGTTTTGTCTGCAAGCAGTACTGCAGTCTTGCTTTACGCAGCCGATCACCGCGTGTCCGCGCCTACGCGCGTAATCTAACACGACAATAACCCTGCTGCTGTTGCGGTAAATTTCTAAAGTGCCGTCGGCGGGGCGATGGCGGTGGCGGGGTCTGTGACCGCCACGTCAACGCATCCAACTCACGTGAGACACAAGGAGAGAGCCCGTATCGTGTGTTTGAGTTTACTGCTCGCCTCCTCTACCCGAGTGTGTAGCCTATTGTTGTCCGGCCTCACGCAGAGGTGCAATTTGATTACTCGCAGGGCTCGCCCCCCTCCCCACTCCCCGAGTTTCCTTTCCCGGGCTGGTCCGGATCCGCTGAGTGGAAACTCTCACGTGTTAACTGCGGGCAATGTCCCTTGAGAGGCTACAGGCTGAAGAGTGTTTGTGGTGATGAGGGTTGATTTCCACAGCGGCCTTCCTACTACGTCTGCCTTTTGCTGTTGCCTCTGCTCTGGCGCTAAGTGCATGGTTCGGCATGCTGATGATTCTCGGATGTGGTGTTGGCATGCAGGTTTTTTTTGGGGGTGGTTGTCATACCTGTCAATGCTAAGATTGGCCTAAACCGCAGAATATTCCAACAGCTGTGTGTTGCTGTGGATGACAAGTTTAATGCGATTGAAGAGGTTAATTCCGAATGTCTAAGTACCAGTGCGAGCAATCACCTGCTTCCCGTCATCAGAATTTTGTTAAAAACGAATCTTAATATTTGAATGCGGTGTTAACTGTTCGTCTGTCAAGAACGGTATTACCCGTCTTAAAAGAACATTCTGAACTTATTCGAATTAGTAAAAATACTTAATTTATAATTTTTATGTACAAAAATTAAAAGAGATTGCACCATCTTAACACTCTTAATGATCTTTAACTATGTGTGTTTGATTATATATCTTGTATTAATTTGTGTTATATCCAGAAGTTGTTATGTTACGAAATCTAACATGATATTGTTAGTATTCATTACATTTTATATGGCTTATCACCAAATGTTTTTATATAATCGCCACAGAAAAATAGCCCCAGCCCCCTCGCCCACACGAATCAATTTTTTAGTCCCCACTTTTTTGTTAACACTCATGAATTTGGGGTCTGTAGAAAATCTTGTCTATTTGATGAGTGAGATCAGGCCACAGACACGCAAATAACCCAAGACATTCGTGAATACATTCTGCTGACAGGGAGTTCTTCTCAAGCTGCTGCCGACTGTCTCTCCGTATTACACGGATCTCTATGTCTCTATGTGTCTATGTGTCTATGTCTCTATGTCTCTATGTGTCTATGTCTCTATGTCTCTATGTGTCTATATCTCTATGTCTCTATGTCTCTATGTCTCTATGTCTCTATGTATCTATATGTCTATGTCTCTATGTGTCTATGTCTCTATGTGTCCATGTCTCTATGTGTCTATATCTCTATGTGTCTATGTCTCTATGTGTCCATGTCTCTATGTGTCCATGTCTCTATGTGTCTTATGTGGCTATATCTCTCCTTGTGTATACAATGGTGAGTCTTGGATTGTTGCAGGTGGAGAGAGTGCACTCATGGAGTCGTGGACGCTCCCTACACGGGGGACGCAAGCAGTCGAACGCCAACCGCTCCCACGAGGTAAATCACCGCTACTGCTACTGCTGATACTGCTGCTGCTGATACTGCTGCTGCTGATACTGCTACTACTGCTACTGCTGCTTCTGCTGCTACTACTACTACCATTGCTACTGCTGCTGCGTGCTGACTGCTTGGCGTGATACTGCTGCTGCTGATACTGCTGCTGCTGATACTGCTGCTGCTGCTGGCTGCTGCTGCTGTTGTACTGACTACCATCGCTTCTTGCTGCTGCTGCTGTTACTAGCTGCTGCTACTGCTGCTGCCTAACTGCTAGTTATGTTAGAATGAGGATTAAATGTGGTTAAGGTGAGGGGAACAGTTGGAATTATAATTAACTGTGGTTAAGTTGAGTAGTGTTTGCGTCATGATACACACACATGCTTCTATAACGGCTTCCCGTAACGCACACGTGTTGCGTGTTCTAGTCGCTGGCCGCTCTCAAGTACCACCTGGACGTGCCCGGCCGCGGCTGGACGACCGGCAGTGGACAGAACCTGAGCGAGTTGACGGACGCGGCGCCCGGCGACGTGGGCGTGCGCACTCACGGACGCGTCGCGGGTTCGGCCGTCTGCTTCGAGCGTCTGCTGGAGGACCCCAGCGGCCAGCAGGTGTTCACTGTACGTATTGACGTGCTTCCCTCTAAGTGTTTGCCTTTCTGTTCTCAGCTTTAGCTCACCCGTCTCGTGGTATCATATCTAGCATCTAGAAATTAACATTCTTGCCTATCTAGCATCTGAATCAACCTCCTTACCTCGCTACTAACTTTCTATCTAGCATCTGAATCAATATCCTTACTCACTAAGTGCTATCTTTCTATCTAGCATCTGAATCATATCCTTACCTCACTAAGTCTGATCATTTTCTAGCTAGCAATCTGAATCAATTCTACTCATATAGGTGCTATCTTTCTATCTAGCATCTGAATCAATATCCTTACCTCAGTACTATCTTTCTAGCTAGCATCTAACTCAATATCCTTACCTCTACTAACTTTCTATCGAGCATCTAACTCAATATCCTTACCTCGCTACTAACTTTCTATCTAGCATCTAACTCAATATCTTTACTTCACTACTAACTTTCTATCTAGCATCTGAATCAACCTTCTTACTTAACTACTATCTTTCTAATCCCCACCTCGTCCGAGCCCCTTCTTCTCTAGACCCTCTCCGCACCTCTGTCTCTCAAGCATTGATAGTTTCAGCTGTAACTCTCGTTTTCTCTCCTTCTTCCACTACCCGACATGTTCCTCTCATTGCTCTCATCCCATATGTGCTTCTCTTCCTCTCTCCTACTTCCGATTTCTCTTCCATTATCTCTTCTTACCCCTCCTCCTATCCTCATCACAGGTTTATTAACCCCACTCTTCTTTGTCTACCATTCTTATTCGTTTGTGATCATTGTTGATCTGTTTATAGTTTAGCATCAGTAAAGAACTGTAGCTCTACCAGTGTAACCCCTTCACTAACCCTAACCCTAATGCTAACCCTAACACTAATGCTAAGCCTAACCATAACTTTAATCCTGATCCCAACCCTAACCCCAACCCTAACCCTAATCCCAACCCTAACCCTAACCTTCTCCTGGGCTACACTGGTAGAGCTATAAAGGAATATAACAAGGGAGGCCCCATCCTATACATCTCTAATGATCTTCTTCTTTCACAGGATTTCCTCAAAAAACAGTTCAGCGTGGAGAACATTGTTTTTTGGAACACTGTTAAGGATTTCAAGAAAACCGGCGATTCTAATACGGTACGCATACTGATTTTTGTTCTCATTCCTTGTTGGTATTTTGTGCTAAGATTGAGAAATTTAAATATGCATCATAATAAGCATAATAGAAGAAATTATAAGCAGTCTAACGCATATATTTGTAACCCTCACAATGACAATACGAAATAACCTTGATTGTAAACGAGAGACATCGATTGTATAATATGGCTATAATAATATATTGGATCTTACAGCAACAACCCCAACAGAGATTTTTCAACGCAACGCATCGGAAATAATCTCAGCTGCAGCAATCATACCGAAATCTCGCGTTTAAGATTTAACTTAATTGATTAGATTATTAAATTAAATCAATCTCATTATTCATTATTGAGTTTGTATCTGCCTGTACTGAGACGGGTTGTGTTGAAAATGTCTCATTGCTTCAGATAGATGTACCTGACTATACTGTGACGGGATGTGTTGAAAATGTTTCAATGACCGCTAGTCCCCTGCCTGCCTGCATAGGCACGGGATGTGTTGTAAATGTCTCATTGCCTCAGCTGAATGTGTCTGACTACACTGAGACGCATCATGGTGACACTGTCTCACTGGAGGTAAAGGTTCCTGTGCCTGCTTACAATGAGACGGTTAAGGGTGGCAATGTTCTCTTGATGACCTCTACCCCCGTGCCTGCCCGCATAAACACGGGATGTGTTGGAAATGTCTCATTGTCTCAGATGCATGTACCTGACTATACCGAGACGGAATGTATTGGAAATGTGTCATTGCATCGAATGGATGTGCTCGAACACACTGAGACGGGGTGTGTTGGAAATGTCTCATTGTCTCAGATACATATACCTGACTGTACTGAGACGGTTCATGGTGGCAGTGACTCAATGACCTCTAGTCCTCTGTCTTCCTATACCGAGACAGATTCTACTGGAAATGTCTCACTGGAAGAGGGGAGCGTGTCTGACATCAGTGTCTCACTAGAACAGAGCGGTGTATCTGACATCAGTGCCTCACTAGAACAGGCAAATGTTTCTGACTCAGACTTTAATGAGACAGTTTATGCCGGCAATGTCTCACTGAAACAGATAGGTGTACCTTACTTCAATGTCTCACTAGAACAGGCAAATGTTTCTGACTCAGACTTTAATGAGACAGTTTATGCCGGCAATGTCTCACTGGAACAGATAGGTGTATCTGACTTTAATGAGACAGTTTATGCCGGCAATGTCTCACTGGAACAGATAGGTGTATCTGACTTTAATGAGACAGTTTATGCCGGCAATGTCTCACTGGACGTGAGTACTGCTGAGTCCACTGAGGCAGACAGAATGCAGCTGACCATGTCGACGATTCCCGAACACGAGACAGCAGGCAGCAGGTCGATTCTGCTGCTCGCGACACCTCTCCGCCTGCGT